CTGACCAAATTCGCGGGCACAGTTCAGAGAAATTAACAAGGTACTAACTGGTTTTTCCCCTGACTCCAAGGTTCTTACCTCGGCGTTCAAACTGTCAGTAAGACTGGAGATGAACTGACTCTCAATCGGTGACTGTCTTGTGAGAAGCGCCAGATAATGGCTGAGTTTGTCGTGTGAAGTGATGATGATACCCTCGCCTTGTTTATCGAACTGAGGACGTCCAGCTCGACCAAAGATTTGAAGCACGTCTAAGATACCAATATCGACAAACGAGCCTTTCTTGGCGTCATAAACTTGTGTGCCCTTGAGAGATATAAAGAAAGAAATTTTTATTTTAAGACTATTAAAACCTACACAACCCCACGTTTGAATTGTAACAAGCTGAGGCCCCGTCCACCGCATGAGAAATTTGAAAACGCAGCTTTATTTCTACAGTTAGGCCTACCGTCCACACTAATCCGTCACGAAAACGGAGCTTTTCGAAAACGCTACTCAAACCGGAGGAATTTGAAAACATTTTATAACGGAGCTTTTCTAAAACGATGGCATCGCGATGATCATATGAGTTCCCTGACAGAGTTTTCCTCAACAACAAATCCAAAATGACTAGCGATTGTTGCGTTTTTAAATTCCGATTAAGACCACAGCATGTAGGCTTACAAGTACAAGGACACAACACAAGCAAAAAGGCCAGGATAAAAAATACAATAACTGGACTTGAAGTTGGAGTGCAATAACTAAACTTTGTCACTGTGCCTTGAATAGTTTCTAAATACTAAGAAGTGATAGTGGCAGAATGAATATGAATGAATATTAATGATGTCCGACCATTCTCCGCCATGAGTCAAAATAACAAATAACACATTACCAGGGAGAGGAAACTTCCAAATGACTTCTAAATTATAACCTTCAAGAAAATTGTGATCCACAAAATATCACAAAATTCGCAAAGTAACAATCTATCCTCCCCGAAAATAGCGATAAAACTTCACGTTTGTCAGTGAATTTTGAAGGTAACGATCTCCAAAGTCACGACAGGGAATGAATCCATTAGTAACGAATCAAAATTTTAAGAAGCTGATTACACCTTTTTACCCTTTTAATCAAGATCATACCTTAATGACCACAGCATGGGCTGGCAGATTAACACCCCAGGCCAGAGTCGCAGTACACACCAGAACCCTGATCAGACCACGTGAGAACAACTGTTCGACCATGGTACGATCCTGCCGCAACATACCAGCGTGATGAATACTGAAGCCATCTGGAAACAGTTCTCGTAACTGCTTGTTTCGTGATCTCATCACCTGTGATTTGGTCCAAAATTACGTTTATTGTCATGCTGCTTGTCCTAGAACTGTTTTGGAAGTCACTTGGCTACAGGATGATTAAAATGTTTCCGCCGAACAGTTGGGGGAAAGCAGTGAAATTATATCACATAACCGATAAAAAACAAGAATAATTGCAATTTTTTCCTCTTGAGCAAGACGCGACTCATACGTTAAAGCCAAAACACAAAAGCCACAGTATACACTCGTTTGATTCCTCTGTTTCCCTAAATTTAGAGAAGGTTTTCATTGGAAAAAGGATGAATCTCTTCATAGCTCTTCAATAAGGTACACTTGATCACTCCGTACGACGTTTTTTAACCGTAAAGTTCAACAAATGCAAACACCATACAAATATGTTGAAGATTACTTTGTACACTCTAAATAGATTCAGTCAGTTTTAAACTGTAAACCGTCTGTACCTGTTTTTCAGCCTGTCCAAACTCAGGACTCTGTGGGGCATGGAACAAAGTAGCGTCTCCCTGATTGGCTGCCATCTCTCGTAACGTCAGTGCTGTCTTGACGGTTGCATTCCGCGCATGCACAAAAACCATAACCTGTTGACAGGAACAGAAAGACAAGGACTGTATCGCTGGCTCAGCAGTCGCTTCCCAAAATGATTGTTTTTACATAAAAGAGACTGTAGAAGGAAAAAAACTTAAGATTGCTCTGAACCCTCTCCACAGAATTTTTTTAACCTTTGTAAAAAGTTGCATCTTATCATGCTTATCATTATTGTAGCATCACTTGTTAAACGGTGGAAGTATTCATCCTTCAAAGTATAGCTGTTAGAAAAGTGCTGGAAACTGTTGCCAGTCTCCTTAAATTGATTTTCTCTGACTCACCTGATGTCCTTGTTCAACGTTCTCCAAAACCTTTTCGTAGCAAATCGTGTCCATGTCATGTAGTTGTTTCACGTGACCTTGGCTCTTGATCCCGATAAACGTTTGGCCGAGCGGGACGGGACGAAAACGCCCGTCAAAGAAAAACAGGCCCTCGTACGGGTTGACCCGCAGGAAGTGCGTCACGTCGATGTAATTGGGAAGTGTTGCTGACAAACCCACGATTCTGATCATGCTCTGAGATGATTCAACCTACGGAGGTATATACACGACAAGAAAATCGACTCTTTATATAAGACACCAAATTCTCAGTATTAATACTAATAGAACTGTACACAATCAGTTAGGAGAATTCATTGTTCGAGCTAGAGACTTATCCGGGTAAAAACTTCCAAGTTAAAATGGCGAACCAAATGCAAATGAACCAAAGAAGTAGCTTCTGTCTGTCTGTCTGTCTGTCTGTCTGTCTGTCTGTCTGTCTGTCTGTCTGTCTGTCTGTCTGTTTGTTTGTTTATCTGATTGTTGGTTTATCTGTTTGTTTGTTTGTTTGTTTGTTTGTTTGCTTGCTTGCTTGTTTGTTTGGTTGGTTCTTTTCCCATGCAATCCTCCGTAGCAAGCATTTTCGCATTTTGGGGTGCACAAAAATTTAGACCAGATCAATTATAGCTGTTATTGTAGTTATCAGCAGTTTGACATACAAATCAGGCAAAAGGGTCAATTCTGCTTTGTGTTGAGCCTTTCGCCTCCGCGTTTATCGTTTTTAAACAAAGTAATCTTTGAGTGCAGACTCAACTACAATAACAATTATTTGCGGCCAAATGCAGAAAACTCTAAATTGTACAAGAACGCTTAACACGCAGGTAAGTCTCATGTTAGTCTGTCCACAGACGTTTTTTTGCTACGACTTAATTTTCTTCTAGCGCGCGAGCGATACGAGAGCGGAACGCGATAGCGGCCGCGACCTCTCCCCAGCCCCATCCCCTTGCGTTTTAGCGCGTGTATCCCATTCCCCGGTAAATATTTTGCTATTAAAGCTTGCGTTCTCGACGAACTCAAGACTAAACTAGACTAAATAGAGGGTTTGTGGACAAACTAGTCTCATGTGGAAACTGTAGTTTCATCCGAACCTAACGGAGTTCAATCACAGCTGTATTAAAGTATCAACTCACTTGTCGCAGAGTCCTGGCTACCAAACACTCAATAACTGAGCCTCTGTCGTCATGCAAGAGATGGACTTCATCAATAATCAACAACTTCACAAGCTGGGCTAGTGCCACGTCCCCTGTGCTCTTACGCGTCACCACGTCCCATTTTTCAGGCGTGGTTACTAACATCTGCATTGACAAAGAAAATTCATATTGAAACTGTTTGCCAGTGAATAAATTCCAGGAGGACAATAAAATTAAAACACAGCAATGATGGGGTTGAATAAAACAGTACACATGAGCCTTGTTCTGTTATTAGCTTTTTTTAAAAGAAATCTCTCTAACGTATTTTTCACGCTGTTTCCAATGCATTGTTATCAGACCTTCAGTGCGAAACCTCACGCACCACGTCAACCTTCAGCTTTTTTCTTGAAACCGTTAAAAAATCATCACTTCAGTTGAAGCTGATCGTTAAAAAGTATAGTTCCTTTTATTGGCGCAGCGGTTGTTTCAGCGGCTAACCCGCCATGCAAAGTTTCTCTGTAGAGAGTCGTTGAAATGAGAGTTGAAAAGCGATTGTGAAGAGCACAACATCAAACCAGCACTGTACAGTGTACTTACTTGAGTCTTGAGGATTTCGGATTTTGTGAGCTGCATATCACCAGTAAGCTCACGTACTGCAATCCCCAGCGAGGCCAGCCGCTTGCCAAAGTTTTGAACCATCTCAGCTGCGAGTGCCTTCATAGGGGCCACATAAATGATCTGAAGGGTAAGAAAAACGATCGACCACATAAAAAAATCAAACAGTTACCATTTATTGATGACTGTGCAGCCATCGATACATAACTTTCAAAAAATTTCAGACGTCACGATTTCGGACATTTCAGATTTCGGAAGTTTAATTTTCGGACACTTTTTATCTCACTTCGGACAAATTTCGGACACTTCGCTCAAACATAGCCTAAGTACCTTTACGCCTGCAAAACACGAATTAGACTGGAATAACATCTGTTTTACTGCAGCTTCAAGCTTTAACAGGTACACTGGCGAGAAAATAGCACACATACATGTATTCTATCAAGCTGTTACATATCTCAGGCAGTGTCTCGCCAACTAGAGTTCGCTACATAAGGGAAACTACATGTAAGAGCTTTGGAGCTACTTAGAATAAAAGTTTATCACTGTACTGTAAATATGTTAGACGCTTAAAATTTCGGAAGCTTAAATATTTCGGACGGTTTCATTTTCGGACACTTTATTTTTGTCTGAAATTAAAATCGTCTAAAATTTTTTGCAAGTAATGTAAATCGTAACAAGTAACCAACCTTAAACTTATCCTTCTTGATCACTCCTTCCTCGATGTTTTGTTTAATTTCCCTTAAGATCGTCAACATGGCAATGTTGGTTTTGCCTGCACCAGTTGGTGCACTTATCAACAGGTTTTCGTTTGTGTTGTATGCTGCGTCAAATACAATGGACTGAATTCTGTTAAGCCGCTTCATCCCTTGAAATCCCATTTGCCCAATCTAGAAAATAAATAAGCACATAAATTCGAGATGTTTTAAGGAATTTCTTGCATTTAAATAGCTAGCGGAAAATGGACAGCATTGGCAACATTCGCGGTTCACACGCTACAAGAATTTTTTTCATGGTTTTGTGCAAAGTAACTTTATTAACACAAAGTCATGAGTTAAACAAGCTTCTTCAGCTTTTAGAAAAAAAATAATTATGTTTTCATTGAAAAAAAAGTGAATTGGTCAGGCCGCACCCGCAGAAGACCTGCAGAGACTGAGACGACCTCTACTATGGACCTGATGGCTTTTTGGAGGTCTCCTAGCCGCTTTCAGTTACTGTTATTATTTTATTATTATTTATGGTGTGGCAAATAAAAGATGATGTGATGTTGATGACGATGACAATGACAGCGATGGCGACAATGATGATGATGATGATCCCTGAATGATGCTCTTTAAGTAAGATAGGCAGCTTGCAGCGTTAATCATTTCACAAAATACTCACCTCGTCTAAAGATGAAATAGGAATGGGAGTTTCTCCTTCCCTTGGTGGTAAGGGCGTGTTTGGAGGAACAACAACCTCTTCATACATTTTTGTGTTTTTTCGTTTAGCATCAGCAGGCAGGGCAATCTGTAAATGAAGCCACAGTCAAATTACTGGATAGTAATACAACCAGAAAAAATAATAAACATAATATTGATTTGTACTTGTAAATTTGACATATTACTTTAGGATAGATTGTATGGAGGTCTCTATTGCAAGCTTGAAAAAAATTACTTCTTTCAGATTGTCTGACCGTGACAAATTAATTTTATTGTCACTTTTCAGAATTTTGACAATGGTCCACCAAGTTAATATCCTCGGCTAAACCTAAAAAAGCCGATGTGGTTCTTCATTCTCAGCACCTGTTTTCTTGAAAGTGTATGGATATTACAACATGATTTCAGATGTTGATCGCTCTAACACTCTTGAATTAACAGTCTATGAGTAGTCAGTCTTCAGTTTTCTCACGATTGGTTGAATCACCCGATGCAAATGAGACACGACCTACATAAGTTTTTTTCACCCTTTAGTCTCACAGTGATGGGTATATCCCTTTGTAGGACCCCCCCNTGTCGAGTAAGCGTGATGTGCAAGTAGAATACCGGGAACTACTTAGCCTGAGCTAGGCTCAATGCGCCCATCTCTAGTCTGCAGTGATGGGTATATCCCTTTGTACGACCCCACCCCACCACCCCCTTATGTAGATGTAGATGTAGCGAGTAGCAAAACAGTATACACGTACATGTAGAACATATCATGGTACCTTGGTGTCTGAAATAAAAGCTGTCGCTCGATGTGTGTCAGCCAAAGCATCAAACACATATGGATACACCTGATTGGGCTGAACACTTCTCTTTGGCCGTGAGAACAAGGGGGCACTGGACGCTACTTGGAGAGCGATCTCCCTTTAAAAAAACAGGAGCAAAAAGGTGACTCAAGATTAAAACAAGAAAAGCAGCAACTCACGAGAAACAGATGTACAACTTACATGTACATAGACTGATCTTATGTTTAAAAGCTTAACTGCATTGATGGGGTTTGCAAAACAGGTAAGTATTACATTGACACTGATGAGGCAGATCAACGTAATTATGACATTTCACACTTCTCACAGACAACATACCTCTGAGTTTTCATTGAGTCAGGATCAAAGCCAACTGCTCTGAGATAAGCTTCTTGATCAATATCCTGTTCATCTGCAGGTGCATTCCTGTCTCTACGAGCCTGGCGTCGTTCTTCCTTTCTTCCTTCCTTCCTTACCTGTCGCATCAGCTGCTTCTCTTGTTCAGACTGCAACCAATACAAACAACAAGCACAATTATTCCTTGACTTAAAAAGGATAACTGCACCCTAGAATAACCCACTGCCACCCTCCTCCTGCAGTCCTCCACTACATACATGTACACTATGTACACAAACCTGCACGGTGACTTGACATCCATACAAAGGCTTGCTTGGACCTGTTGTGGACTTCACTCTACCGCTCTCTGAAATGTAAAGCTCTTTGCAATTAATAGGAATTAAATGATAATGCAGCAAGAAGCTTGATTCATAAACTTACCTACAAGTCTAGTTTTGCAAAAGCTAAATCTGGAGTGAGAAATTTGTCTGTAACACTTGAAACTTAATCTAACAAAGTGCACACTAAGTGGAAGAAGAGCACTTTGCACTAGGACTATACTTACTGGATGTTCTACTGTAAATTCTTAAGTACTACAGGGCTGTCAATAAGGGCTGCAACCCATAACACCTGCTATGGTGAGTATGTTTGATGGGCCCCTGATATTACAGGTGAACTTGCCTGTAGTTGATACAATTCACCCAAAAAGTAATAGGTTTGTTACAGGTGTGAAGATCAAGGCTACAGGTGAATCAAAACTTAATGACAGCCTTGCATTGGATAGTATTACAAATCTTAATCGCAGTGCGCACAACTCACCTTTGCCTTCATTCAAATCAGAAGCACTTTCAGAAGTTGCTATAACTATCCTGTGTCTGTTAGCAAGGAGTGTTTGAATGAATTCAAACCGATCAAACCCAAGAAGCTCAAATACCTCATTCTGAATAGCTTCGTCATCTCTATCAGAGCTGAGAATGTCAAAGAGCGCTGAACAAAGATCCAGAACTGACACACCACAGCTACTATCACCAAAATAATGTTCACACTGGTTTCTTAGCCATGATCCATTGATTTCATCTTTGTTATTTGTCCCTGCACTTGAGGTATCCCTCGAAGGTATTTGTTCTTCCCTGATTGTTGGAAAATCCATTTGAGTCTCAACATTTTCTTCCTCAGAATCAGAAAGCAATGCATCATCTAATGATACAACTTTACTCTTAAATGGAGCAAATTTTATGTCACTGCCAAACTCCTTCAAAGGTTCTTCATGTTTCTCTTCATTTCTCTTGTCAATGAGTGCCAAGCATTCCTCAGGAAGCAGTAAAATTATGTTCTGAATGATATGACAAGCTTTGGTTGCTGCTGAAGCTGGAAATGCTCCAAAAACACTTTTTAGTTTGGCACTTTCAATTTTTCCAATGTGACTTGCATCCTTCAAAGTTGTGAAAACAAATACTGTTGCACTTTCCACAGCTTCACCTGATGAATCTTTACCAACTAAAAAATATCATAAAAAAAGTTATGTTTAGCAAGGATTTGATCCATGTTTGTAGTGTTTTATCCATTACGATATGCATAATAGATTCTGTGGGGAACACATTGTCTACATTAAACTGTTGTGTTATAGATCGTTTTCACTGTCACGCAATAAAAAAATAAATCGAAAACCATCCAGTGGAAAAAGCTATGAACTTACAATGCTATAGAAGATAACTAAATAAGACACTTCTCCAGGTTTTAGGCCTGTGCGTTTCCCCAAACTTCAGATATTTGTTGAAATGTTTTGCAGATATTTGCAGAGCCAGTATGAAAACGCCATGTTGGTGTACCTCCGTGGTACACCAATATGGCGGCCGGAAAATAGTGTAAACATCTGGAACTTACTTTGGCTATCTAGGC